GGTGATCTGGATGGTGAGTTGGAACACACCCTCGGCAAGTTTGTGCACCACATGAAACTGAGGGAGTGGCGGATATGCTGGAGCATGGGACCGCCATACAGGGAGACCATGAACAAGTGGAGAAGGGGCTGATAGGGATCTCAGGAAGTTCAGTACAGACAGTTGCCAAGTCTTGCACCCAGGACAAAATAACCTCATGCAGTGGTGCAGGCTGGGAACCAACTGATGAGGCAGCACCTCTGCAAAAAGGGACCTGAGGGTCCCAGTGGATAGGCCGAACATGAGTCAGCAGTGCACCTTTGAGGTAAGAGGCCAAGCACATGCTGGACTACACTAGCAAGCGCAAAACCATGAGGTAAAGGAAAGCGATTATTCTCCTCAAGTTGGCACTTGTGAGGCCACATCTGGAATGTTGCGTCCAGTTTGGGCTCCTGAGTATGAGAGAGATCTATTTCCAAGCTGATGATAATCCAGAGGAAGGCCACCAAGCTAGTTCCAGGATTGGAGCATATGACATACAAGGAGAGGTGGAGTGAACAGGGTTTATTTGGCTTGAAGAGTGTACTAAGAGAGGGCATAATCCCTGTATTCCACTTCCCGAGTGTGTGTGGAGGGGGTTATTGAGAAGGTGGAACCAAACTTTACTCAGAGGTGAACATCAAAAGGACAAGAGGCAATGGTCATAAGATAAACAAGAGAAATTCTGAATGGCTATAAGGAAAACAAATCCCGAGAGTGGTCAAACACTGGAGAAGCCCAAAGAAGTTGTGGAATCTCCATTCTTGGAGCTTTTCTAAACAAGGCCCTGCGCAACGTGACTTAACTTCGAAGGCCAATTGAAGGCCTTGGAAAGACTTTAGCAAAAGACTACAGCATGCTAAAATATGCCTCACTGGGCTACTGAAAGACCCATCAGTGGGTTACAAATGAGGAAAGATACTGCCAATGATTTGGGCAGGCTCTCTTGCTCTCCAACATTCGACTCTGTGCAGTGGTTCACCAGCACTGGATTTCTCCCCCCCACTGTTTAAATCTTCAAGCGTTGTCCTCATAAAGAAGCTGGCACTGGAGTGATTTCATTAGATTTTATCAGTGGAGTCCAAAAAATGGGTGTCCACTATTGGACAGACTGCTTTTGAAGGGACCATACCTTGCTAAGACTTTTCTAAGGCAGGAGTGGACTTCGGGATGATTATTTTTGGAAATGCATGACACATACCTCCCCTTTGAGACTAAGATGAATGGTGCCTGGGATTATAAGAAAACAGCGAAGGTTAGCAGACTTCTGTTATTACAGTTCTCTTTGCTGGGAGTTCACCAAGAGATGAAGAATGACTATTTTCTTCTTTTTGTGGCAGCTAGTAACAGACACACACAAAAGGCTTTATTAATTCTTTGGTCACTGGTAATACAGCCGAAGGATTCTGCACTTTCACTGCTGATGTTCATGATCTGCAGCCTGCTTTCATCTTTCCTTCTTTTTGACCATTCCACAAAATGATATTGGTAACATGTATAATCCTTCTATTCTCATTGTAACTGGCCATGATGCGAGGTTAAGCTGTTGCTATTTTGGCATTTGTAGCAGTGCAGTGGCTCTGCAGTCGCATCAGCAAGGATGGAAGATGATCTTAACACCTCTCCTTTAAGGTGGGGAATGTGAATTCTCCAAGACCTTCTACCTCTTGGGCAAGTGCTACACTCACTAGGTTACTATGAAAAAAATAGTTGACTTCTCTGTTCTCGGCAGTTTGTTACCCATGAGCTCTGTAGTTTTAGCCAAATGCATTATATATGGGTTCAGCATGCCTATGTGGTTGGGTGAAGTTTAAGCCTCTCCCTGCCTGTATCTAAAATGCAACCAAGCTTAAGATGGAGCTAACTTTATCAAGACCAGAGCCCTTCTGAATGTGCGCAGAGACTTCTGGATGCCTAACTTGAAAGTTTGAATTGACTTTTGCTATACTCCAGAGTTAAGATGCTACTTGAGACGAGGCTGTTTGAACTTACGATGCCTAAAACTCATTAATGAAAACTCAGATGGAATTTATGTAGTTTAAACTTGGCCTCCTGCTGGTTTGGGAACAGAAGATTACTGGTGAAATACCAAAATCCTTATGTTAAAAGACTGTATGGCTGGCTTACAAGTTGATGGTCAGAGATGGTAAAAATACTCAATGTCTGATTTGAAAAACAGTACTAGGAAGCCATTTTACTCTAACACAGACAGTAGATTCGACTTTGAACTTTGTCTGAAACCATGAATCCTCTCTCCATTAAGAACTGAGGGATACTGTCGTAAGTTAAAGCTGGAGAGATCACTTCCATCTTAGTACCATCAGTCTTAGCATTCTTTTTCTGAAATGACGTGTTCACTCCTTGCATTTTCTTGCAAAAGCATTCCCTGAAACGCTGGAAGCTTTTCTGTAAGTGGGCGAGGATTTATTCGTGCTTTTTTCTTTGGCAAAAACCGAATGCTAGGTTTTCGCTACTCCGAGCAGTTAACAACAGCGCACCAACACAGCCTATTATTAAGTAGTCACCTTGTGGAAACACATCCCGAGATGCCAGCTTCCCAGCCACCTGTTAGAGCGCACCAAAGTCCTCTGGCTGATTTCCGCAATACGCATCGCTGGCGCCTCTCTCAGAAAAGGCACCTTTTTGCTGAAAACGCTGCTCTGCTCCTTTTCACGGTGCATTTACTAGGGCAACCGGCTCTTAGCTGCAGGAGGGGCAGGCCAGGCTCCGACGGGGCAGAAACGCCGAGGCAGGCGAGGGCGCGCGCGGGCCGGGCC